AGAGGCGGAAGGGGAGAAGATTAGGGTTCCCAAATCTTAGAAATGTCTGGTTTTTTTTTATATATTAGAAAGTTCCGACGGATTTTTTCGTCGGAAATTTTCCGACGGATAAAAAATCCGTCGGAATATTTGGGTTTTCCGAGGGAATACTCCGTAGGAAAATTCCGACGGATTTAAATTCCGTAGGAAAACTAACTTTCCGACGGAATATTCCGTCGGAAGCCTATTATTCCGAGGGAATTAATTTCCGTCGCAAGGATTGTGAGGGATTTTCCGTCGTAACGAACCGTTTCCGACGGAAATTTCCGTCAGACCCTAATTCCGTCGGAAAGTTCGGATTTTCCGACGGAATTTAGGTCCGTCGGAAGGATTCCCTCGGAAAACGGCCTATTTCTAGTAGTGATAGTATATAGCTACTTATCAATAACATAATGCTAAAACACTTCCTAGTGCTTTTGGAAGGTTGAAATATGGTGGAGAGTATAAATAATAATTGAGTTAGTTTTCTGTTAAGTATTTTTGTAATAATTTTACCAACTAACTTTTTTTTTTCCTTCAAAAAATCTATTAAATAATTATTAAAATAGGTCATGCTTACCTCGATCATTTCGAACATATGTCAAGCTATCATTTAAATATTTCCCGCCAATACAACTTATGATGTCAGCTTTAAGTTTTTTTTTTTAAAGTTATTCTACTTAGCTTATTTTTTGGAAGTACATTGTATAGTATTTTTCTTTTTTTTGAATTAAATTAATTCATTAATAAAAGTCATACAACATCTACATTGTATAATTTTATTGGGAATAACACACATCATATTAATGTAATATAATGTATACTATGTTTAAATACTCCCTCCGCCCCTTTTTATAGTTCCCATTTGGAATCATGACACTATTCATAATGTGAGAGAATCTTCTAAATTACTCTTAATATTTACAGTAAGACATAACATAGTCATGTTAGATCTTATTTGATTCGTCTCGATTAATAGATTATTAATATCAATTGTTATATTTTTTTATTAATAAGCAACTAACGATATTTATGGTCAAAGTGTTGTATTGGCAAATGTGCTAGTCCAAGTGGGAACTATAAAAAGGGGCGGAGGGAGTATTTTCAACACAACTAATCAAAAATAATTTTTTTTTTCCCTCAATTGTAGTTTTAATAATCTTTGCCTTATTATTTCATCTTTCTTATATGCATTGTATTTGTTTATTCCATATGAGTTGTCTCATTTTTATATTATATCACAAATTAATTATGGAAAAAAAGATTATTACTACCGTGCATCGCACGAGCACTAATCTAGTAAATCTAAAGTCATAGATAGCAATTGGCACATTGTCACTATCATTAAAAACGGATAATTACGTTTATTTATTTTTTCAAAATCCGTTGGAATAAGATAATGTCAAACAGTTTTTATAAATCAAAGAAATAACTGTCAGTGTTATCTATAAATATAGATGAGATGGTTTCATTTGGACACTTAACACAATTTTTTTCCCTTTTCATTATTTCTCTCTACTTCAAATATTAAACGTTCACGAAGATCAAAAAATTTGCTGTGTTTTTTGTTCTAGATATAGGATATCCTAGGGGTAAATTAGCGGATATCTCCAACAACACTTATTGTGGGGGCTAATTTTATCCTAAGGGCAGTGATTAGTATCACGTCCTATGTTATTGTAATTTTCTTCGAAATTTTCACCGTATACCCTTGAGTTTTTTGTTTATTCACCATATATCCCTGAACTTTTTTAAAATCATCATATACCCCCGAGTTTTCACAAAAATACACCATATACCTATGATGACTAATGATTGTTAACTTTGTCAGCGTTAATTATGACCCGAAACTACACTAAATACATTCCCCTACCCCTGAAACCACCCACAATCCTTTTTCTCACTCTCAAAACCACCCTAAATTTCCTTTTCTCATCCTTAAAATCAATCATACAGATATGGTTATGTAGATTTGGAGTGGTTTCGGGGGTTGGAGAAAGAAGATGAGTGGTTTCGGGGATTAGGGGAGAGATCTAAGGTGGTTTCGATGCATAATTAACCAAATTCCATTCATCTTGTTGTCATAAGGGGTATATGATGAATTTTTGTAACAACTCAGAGGTATATGATGAATTTGAAAATTTTCCAGGATATATGATGAATAAACAAAAACTCAGAGGTATATGTGCAGTGTGTAATTTTATTTTCTTTCAATTGTTTTTATATACACTATTTCTAACAGTGCAACTGTAGTTCAGGCGACTTTCAGCTAGATAGATATGAAGCATTTGTGTATAGGGCCTGACAAATCGATCTATCATAAGATGGTTAATAGCTAGTAATTAACTAATTACTAGTACTACTTCCTCCGTATATACTAGCATGCATGGATGTTATAGCCTTACCATCTCCAATGGTGAGATTTTAAGGATTTTTTTAGGAGAGAGAGAGAGTATTATTTGCAAAGGATACCAATAAGTGAGTATCTAAACTTAGCAACTTTTTTTTTAGTCTCATTTGACAAAAAGTATGGGCCCTTTATTAATATTATAATATATTTGTAATTTATTTAAGTTTTTTTTTTTTTTTTTTTTTTTGAAAACTTATAATATGGATTTGGTGGGCCATAAACTGAAAGTGACATTAGTATACTTTAGAGAGTCTCACCATTGGGAAATTAGACTTCACATGAGTTGCTAATTTGAGAAGTGGATTGGGTATCACCATTGGAGGTAAAAAACTACTCATTTTGTATTTCAATACTCAAAGTTGAGTCTCACCAATGGAGATGGTCTTATAGGTGCTTGTACTTTATTACTACTACTACTACTACTACAACTACAACTACAACTACTACTACTACTACTACTACTAATAATAATAATAATAATAATAATAGAGGATCTAGGAGATGGAGGGACACGGTCCCACCCAAGTGATGGGAGTTGGATTCCTCATTTCCCCATTTCTGTGATAGGGTCCGTTTAAAAAAAAAAGTATATTTTTTATATTATATATGTTCTATTTAATATACGAGTTTACATATTATATTATTGTTGTTATTTTGGAAAACTAATGCCAATTTATGGATTATCTTCTACAATAAAAACTTAATGAAGAGAAACTCAGTTCGACTAGTTACGGATGCTCCAATTAAAATTAAAAAAAATATATATATATGAATCCATTCTAATTAATATGGAACACCCTATCATAAAGTATATACTGTCCGATGGAGGCAAGAACTCGATACCAATTCAATTCCTTGCTTCCATTTTCTTTTTCACTATTTCTTATTAAATCATGGTAGTGAATTTGATTCTTGATTAAATTATTGGCACGTTTACATATTACTATATTATATATAAATGCCATAAGGTATATTGGATTTTGGAGATACAGAATAGCATTTTGGAGTTTGGAGTACGTGGCATATTGGCCGTATAACTGTATAAGTAATACATACTTTGTATTATTCCTTTTTTTTTTTCTCTGTTTTTGACTAAAGAGACCAATATTTTTATCATAACGTCGAGGAATTCTCCTTGGAGGCTTTGCATTTCGATATTACAATACGTACATATGTCAAAAACTGATTAGACCAACTCGATCCAAAACTAACCCGAACAAAATGCATTTCAAATTTCAACTTACATGGAGTCATTTTATCATCTACTCGTAGCTAGCTATTACATCCTGCCCATGCAGTTGCTATCTGCATCATATCGAGCATAATGTGGGAAATACCCTCGCTGTTGGTATGGCAAAAAGCACATTTAGTGGAAGCTAGGATCTTACTTTGTATTCCCTATTATTCAGTGGAGTATTATTCTTGCTACTAAGCTAGCTACGACGTATATTTTTAATTTAATTTAATTTTATTTATTTATTTATTTATTTTTATTTTTTTTTTGTTGGTTGAAGAATGTAGTCCTTGAGCAAACAATTCAATTAATAAGATTAAATTAAATCGTTCACTTAGAAGTAATATAACATAATCTACTCTTATAATATAATAGTCAAAACTAAAACAAAACTTTCTCATTATTCTTACATTCATTTTGATGTCTTATAATGCTTAGCTTGTAATAACCGATGATTTTATACTCATACTTCCTCTGTCCCATAATATAGTGTTGTATTTCTTTTTGTGTGGCTTAAAAATATTGAGCCCTTTTCAAAATATTTCTATTTTCGTTTTACATAATTTTATCAATGTAAACCTAATTTTCTACCTTTCCTATATAAAATACCCATCTATCCAAAGCTTTATTAATACGCAATTATTTATTTATTTACCTTTTCATTTAAAATACCTCACTTTTAAGACTTTTATATACTCCATATATATAAATATAATTAACGTATAAAAGTATAATTATAAAATTTGATATATTGATAATATACATTAAAATACATCTGGTAATTAAGATCTTATAAAAGCAAAAAAAATCTTTATTATATTTGTATAAATATATCGTCAAGGTTTATAAATTTTGACCATCAATCAAAAAAATATGTTGCATGCAATAGAGTTATAAAATTAAAAATTGTATAAAAGAGTAAGAGCCTCATTAAAAAGGGTGTTATCTACACCTAATTAAATTCATTGTTTTTAAAAGTAGATATTAATAAACGCAGTACGTGCATATGTGAGAAAAAAACAAACCAAAAAAAAAAACAAAACATGTAAGATAACTCATACTACGTAATAGACTAGAATTAAAAATATAATGTAAGAGAATAGAGGTTGTTAGGTCATAAAGACATCTTTTGATAGATAAAAATTTGGACACTAAAATACTAAAGAGATATCTTTGTAGTAAAGATATTCTCCACGATAAGCTAAGATAGGCCATATATGATCATCTTGACATATATAAGAATCATGGAATGTATATAGGTCGAGAGCATCACTCAAAAACTGACACGTGTAATTTTATACGATTGGTTTGATGATTCCATTGATTACCCCTTGCTTCCATGCATCCATCAAGTCTATAAATACCCGCATGTGTACGTAGTCTAGTACTCGTACATCACACAAATACAATCTTCTATAGTAATCTATCTTTACGCCGAGGTAAATTCCAATTTTTTTTTCCTTTTCTTTATTTTTCCATTTTCCAATTTTAAGTTTACTTAATATGAAGTACTATGCAACGGTAAACAAGATCGAGGATGTGATAATACTATTCACTTGCTTCCTCTTTTTTTCTTCATAATTTAGGTTTATTACAATATTTTACCCCTTATGTTGGTTGAGGATTTGACCATACACTCATACACTAAAAGAATCCACGTTTAGCTTAATTGTATTAAGATCTTTTTGTGCTTAACTTTATTTATTACTCGTGTTTATATTATCAACATTACATTTTTGTCGTTCTTTTTTAATGGGAGAATTAGTCTTAACTCACACTTGAAATATTCTCGATGACTAACTTGGTTTGCAATAATACATGTGTTGTATGTACAACGTAATAATGAAGGTACGTAGGAAAAATGGCATCAATCCAGTGTGAGAGGAAGGAGGAAGTAGCTGCGCAATTGAGCTGCGAGCAGAAAGCAACTTTAGACGAGTTGATCAAGTGCGCAGAGAAAACACTTGTGTCCGAGGATATCGCGAACAAGTCCCGTGCCATCGTTGCTGAAAAGGAATGCCTAAACAAGGCTGACGCTGCGGCAGCACGTGTATCCGCGGTAGCAGGTGTCTTGACAAACCAGACTTCTTCAGTATCCTTGGCTGTGTTTGGCACCAAGCAATGGGCGGGGTATCCCGTGACAAACTTCCCAGATCCTCTTGAAAGCGTGGGTCCCTTTGCACAAGCAGCCTTGTTTGGGAGTGTTAAGGGCGCGGTGGTTTATGGTGGCAAAAACCGCGCAGGTGTTGAATGTGGTTGGCTCCTTGCTTGGTCCGATGGGACAGGAAGGAAGGTACGTACATATACTACGTTACACAATACAACTTTTTATATATCATGCTTATATATATGTATGTGTATATATGGACCAAATAAGGGTTGGACTAGTGGTATCTGGTATGGGTTTGGTCTCATGACTTGAAGGTCATGAGATCAATTTCCAATACAGGCATCTAGGAGGAAGTAATTCCCTTATCTTTCCCCTGCCCTTACACTCGTGCAAAGTAATTCATCAGTACTTGTAGGTCATGAGATCAATTTCCAATACAGGTGTCTAGGAGGAAATGATTCCCTTATCTTTTCCCTACCCTTATCTTACACTCAAATTCATTACTTGTTCATACAATTTTCCAATAATCTCATATTCTTTCGTTTGTTTCCTTGTAATAACCAAAATTGGGGTTAGATCTACGCGGAGTGTGGTCCTAGAAGCAAGTTCAACAACATCGACTGGAATCGGATTGAAAAGAATTTGGATAACTCCGGGATCATCGCTAGTGCCAATGACAAGGAAACCGGAACTGCAGTGTATGCTACAATTCTCGGCGCCTCGGTTGGATCTGCAGTTGCTGCAGGCTACACTGGTTAAGCAAAATTCCTACGTAATACGATGACCAATAATAATAATAATAATGTACTAGATCCGATCCAGCTGGTCTAACTAGTTTTTAATAATTTGTTGTTGTTTTTCATTATTACGGGGGCATTATGAACCTACCTGTTGTTGTACGTAATAAGAACATGCAAAACTAGCAATGCAAGCTTGTATTTGCATGTTTAGTTAAACAACAGTCTATAAATGCTAGTACTAAATAAAAGTGCCCTTCTTTCTTATATTCAAACCAATAGCATCCAATAATTGAATACATTTCACATTTTTAGCTAGATTGCTTAATTAATTACTTTGAGGTGAAAATAATTCATCCATGGTCTATATTGAACCATAGTTTAATAGTTGGAAAAAAAAATTAATAATAAAAAAAAAAATTGGCATTACATATAATTATGCCATTGTTTAATTATGATTTTAAAAAATAGTAGGTGAAGGTAATCGGCCTGATACCATGACAAAATTTGTTAGGGTTATAATTGTATGTTACCCCTTTGACTGAATATTTAGCCAATGGATATTGCCAATATTCTAAACATAAGAGTGTAGAGTTAAAAATATTAAGATATGCCATATAGGCATATAATGATCATAAAGGCATCGTTGGTAAATCAAAATTTGGACACTAAATTAAAATACTAAATATTAAAGAGAAATCGATCATATACTTTGTAGTAAAGATATTCTCCACAATAAACTAATTAAAATATGCCATATAATGATCATATCTTGAGATATATAAGAATAATGGAATGAATGTATATAGGCCAAGAGCCTGAGAGCATCAATAAAAAATTGACGCGTGTTATTTTATATGTTTGGTTTGATGATTCTGGTAATTAAATCTCTTTTCCATCCATCAACTGATCAAGTCTATAAATACCAATATGTGTATGTAGTCTAGAACTCGTGTATCACACTAGCTAATACACAATCTTCAATTCTATAGTGATCGATCTTTACATAGCCAAGGTAATTTCCACATCTTCTCTTTATTTTTTCCATATGTCACTTTTTAGTCTTATTAGGGGCCGTTTGGTTTGGGGTAATCAGGAAAGGGAAAGAGAATCAACAAGAATGATTACCTTAGTTGTTGTTTGTTATGCCAATTCAATAATTCCCTTTCCCCACTTAATTACCCCAAACTCCTCTACTCTCATTCCCCACCCCCCCCCCCCCCCCATCCCCCCCCCCCATGGTATTTGCATTCCCTTTCCCCTAAGCCACCAACACCGCCACTGCTCCACCTACACTAACACCCCACTGCACCATCATCGGAACCCTTCCCACCACTGCCCCATCAGCACCGCCGCTCTTCCGGTCTTCCCACCACTGTCCCGTTAGCACCGCCACCGCCACCGCCCCACGACCCAAAACCATCGCTCGGTAGAAACCCCCTCCCCCCTAACCACTCATCCACCGACTTAAAATCTCATGAGCCACACGAAATCAACCACCCTCCACCTTAAAAACACACCACCCACAAGAAATTAACCATCCACCACTCTAAAAGTACCTATTCCAACTCATGAAATCAACTAGCTTTAGAGAGTCGTATCGGGTCGAGTTGGTCGGCGCAGCAACCGGAGGGAGAGTGTTAGTGGGTAGCGGGTAGCGGGTAGCAGGAGGGTCATGGATTGGCATAGGTGGAGAGAGATGCTTAAGGTGTGGTGAGAGTAAGGTTGTAGAGGAGAGAGATGGTTGAGGTATGGTAAGAGGAGGTTGTATGAGGTGTGGTTAGAGAAGGTGGAGTCTGAATGTCAATCCAAACAACAATTATAATCAAACACTTTTACTTTCCTTTCTCCTCCTTTCCCTTTGTTGATTTCATTCCGATTACCCCGTATAAACCAAACGACCCCTTAATATTATGAAACGGGCGAGACTTCGGTGATATTTATTAACTTCACACTCCAAAACTTTTCCATAATAATCACCATATTGTATGATATTACTCCGTAATTTGATGCCTCAAGTTATACTTTAGAAGTAATACGTGATACTTCGTACATGAATAAGATCATGTTTTCTTCGCCTTATTTTTACTGAATCGAAATTATTTTTACTGATTGAAACTTATTTTTACTGATTCTCTGTTATATTGCTCTTTAAACTTATGGTTTTTACTGATTATAACTTATTTTTACTGATTAAAACTTATTTGTTTATTGCATGCCAAAAAGGTGTTTTGCATTTAAAAGAAAACAAAATACAGAGGAAGTACTTCTTCTTCTTTTTTTTTTTTTTTTTTTTTTTTGTTTTGTTTCAAACGTTGTTATTATTGTTCTTCTTTTGAAATGTACTAGAAGGAGAATTAATAATTATTCTTAATAACTTACATTTTATTCTCGATGACTTATTAACTTGGTTTGTATATGAATGTATGCATGTATGCAATATAACATATATTGAAGCTAGAAAAATAATGGCATCAATCCAGTGTGAGAGGAAGAAGCCGCAACTGAGCTGTGAGCCAAAAGCAACATTAGATGAGTTGATCAAGTGCGCGAGGAGGCCAAATGCGCAGGTTGATGAAGGTGGGCTAGGTGCCTAGCTAGGTGGGTTATGTTGTCACCTATAATTACTATTACGGTCATGTTTGGATTGGGGGTAATAGATTAGGGGGTAATAAAAGTCAAATTTGAGAAAACATATGTAATTAGAGGGGTTGTTGTAGGAGACAAGGTGTTTACAAATGAAATAAAGTAGTTGTGTCATAAGGAAAAGAGAGAGATGGGGGAATTATTATCCTCATAATGAGGGTAATAGTTACCCACCCTCCCCCTACTGTAACTATTACCCCCAAAATGAGGGCATTAGTTCCTCTTCTTCACCTCATACTACACCATTACTACATAAATTTCCTTACAATCACGCCATCACTATCTCCTCCTTCCCTATATTCACTTTCATTTTGCTTAGTTTGACTTTTATTACCCTAGTAATACATCTCCCTCAATCCAAGCATGCCCTTCGGAGTACTAAATAAAAATGATCGATCTCTCTTTTGATTTCGAGTATGTCTAATGCACCTGTTGTACGTGGTATGAACATGCTAGCTAGCTTCTATCAGTCTATGTAAGTTACCTTGCATGTTAATTTCTACATTTATATAAGCTAAGAGCCAAAGTATGTATGTCATCCATGAGCAATTGAATCTTCATGAACTATAAAACCATATGTTATATATAAACTTGTATATTGAACATGATATGTAAGCAAACATGCATTGAATTTTCCTTGTACAGTTGTACTAATACGAAGTAATTACTAAACTTAACAAAGTTGTTAAAATATAACGATTAATTTCATCCCCTTGAAATAAAAGTAATTAATTTATATGAGCACTAGTATCACTTATAAATAAAGGAATAATATGTCCGACGGACACAAATACCTTTTTTTCGTCATAAATTATCGCTATAAACTTATAATTCATTGCCATTCTAGATGAGGTATTGAGTTGTAAATTCATGCTTAAAATCAATGTTTGCGATGGAGACAATATTTCATTTCCATGAACACGAGCTAAGTGCATAATTCCTTACAATATTCCAAACACACATTCATTTATTTTTTTATTTTTTTTTTAAATATAGAGTACATAGTGCGGAGTACATAATATTATATGTTAACGCTTACCAACAGGCCCTAAACCGGCATAGTTCAAATTTTATATACTACTCTCTGCAAAACCGTAAATAGATCAACAAAATATTCAATTAGCATGGCAATTTCGTAATTATACCAACAACTTTAATAAAAATTATAAGTCCGTAAGGCCGTATGAAGTATTTAATAAAAAATATTGATTTATTTACAATTTAGCATAACACTGAAACTAAACATTTTGCACTATTCACGTAATCCGCTTTTATTTTGTGCATAATGCAAGGAGGTTTTCTCAAAGGCCCTTTGAACATCTTCTATTCTTCCCCAAACAAAACCCCTTTATCAGTTGACCACTTTAGAATTCTCTCTCTTTCATTTTCATCATTCTCTCTTCCAAAACAGAGCAAAGGAAGAGATGTTGCTGGCAGTATTACTCTCCAACTCCGAGGGCAACATTCTCGTCGAAAGGTATTCAATTTTTACTTCTTTTTTCTGTGTTAATCTGCAAATTACTCATCTGGGATTTCCTCTTCTTGCTCCTTTTCATCTTGATAATGGATCTAAATTACCCAGTTTTGCTGAATTTAAGTACTGTTTATTCCCAATTATCATTTTTTTCTAGATACCCAGTATTTGATTTGCTTTGATCTGCTCTTGAATCACAATACTGTCTTTTCAATTTACCAAATTTGATTTTTTCTGTCCTGCAAATTTGTTTATTGTTTGATTTGTTATGTGGGTCTTCACTAAATTGGAGCTGATTTAGGGATTTTAATGAGTATGCTTGATAGATGTTAAAGAGAATAAATTTGGGGTTTTATGTTTTTTAAGATTGAAGTTATGTAAGTCTCAATTGTTTCTTTATGTTCAAAAGATGATTTATGCTACTTTTATGGGATCTGGGTTTAGATTTTTTGATTTCTAAGTCATCTCTGATAACTTTTAGAGTGTTAGTTCAATTAGCAGGATCTGCAACCATGTGTAAATTTGTTAACCTCAGTTTATGCTGCTTTGATGTTTTCACTGATACCGCGACTGAAGATTTCAATGATCCATTGGTGTTCATTTAGCTTGCCACTCCCCCGTTGTATTTCAGGTTCAATGGAGTTCCTGCTGAGGAGCGTTTGCATTGGCGAACTTTCTTAGTTAAGCTGGGTGCTGAGAATCTCAAGGATGCTAAGAATGAAGAGCTCTTTGTTGCTTCACACAAGTATGTAGCACTTCTGTTGTGATAAACATAAGATTCCTCAAACTTATAAGATTTAGAATACATTTCTGCTTTCATTTTAAATTGTGGTTGTGTAGTGCACTTCAATATCATTTAGGCGTTTACAATGTTGTTGCATCCTATTGGTGCAAGTTATAAATAAATATAAGGCTTGTCTTTAGCAAATCTTTGGTATTCAACATTATAAAGATGTTTTGCTTGTCAAATGGTCATTCGTTTCTCCATTGCTCCGCATCTTACTATGAGTGTTGGTCTTATAGACAATTAAGAGTGAAGAAAAGTCTTGGAATTTTACTCCATGTATCTGTGACATCAATAATGTTCTGTGGATTATATTGCAATAACTTGCTCAAATTTGGAATTCTATTTCCCCTTTGAAGAATGACTTTCCTGGCTGCACCAATGGTCATTGGTGATGGATATCCTGTCTGGCTGGTTAGGCTTGTGCATCCCTTGCTACATGCATTTGATTTCCTTATCATTTCAAATTTGCAAGATTTCATTATGTTGCGCAGCCCTTTTTACAGAGTCTTAAAGGCATAAGGATATCCTAATTTTACTACTAATTCAGATGTCTTCAGAATTTCCCATATATTGCTGTATCCTTGGTGTTATCAGATCTTGATTGTTGTTGTTCATGCTGAACAAGGAACTGTTTACTGGAAAATCTTGCGTGTGAGGCCATATGTGAATAGGACTTCTTCTCATTTAGAGTAAGTTCTGTTACGGATTTAACATCACTTAAGAAGACATGTCATTTCATCATGTTCATCATCTTAGTTGTAGGTCATAAACGATGTACTTGAATACTTGATTCCTTCCTTTAATCCCCTTGAATTGTATTACGAGTATCAAAGCCGGATAGTGGGTGTATTGTTATGCTGTAATTCACTCTGTACAATTGATTCCACTATTCTCTTTTTGTGCTTTAATTTTTATGCAGGTCAGTTTATATTGTTTATACTGTGCTTGGAGATATTCACATCTATCTTGTTGGCAAGGATGAGTATGACGAACTTGCTTGTAAGTATGTCTTTTCTCTGTGTCAGAATTAGGCTACAATGATCACTGTATGATGCAGTTTGAATTGCTAACTTGCCATTGCTTTTTCAATCCTGGTAACAAGTTGCAAAAGGGAAAAAATATTATTCACATTTACTCTGTGATTAACCTTATAAAAAAATGCATCTGTTATCAACAGCTTCAATAAAGAGAACTTAATTTGTGTTTGATAAATGTTTGATCAGTGACAATATGTGTCAATTGTCATCGTTGCTTTCATTTTCCTTGTATTTTGGACTTTTTGGTTGAGAGTGCCCAGTACTTATGTTGGTGATTGCATTTTTCTAGTGTCAGAAGTTATATTCATAATCACCTCGACGTTGAAGGATGTCTGCGGAAAACCACCAAATGAACGCATGTTCCTGGACAAATATGGAAGGATCTGCTTATGCCTTGATGAAATTGTTTGGACGGTAAGGACTTCATTACTTTGTTGCCATCATATTGGTCACTTTTATATTTCTGAATTGAATATTCAAGAGACATTTCTAGATAAACTTATTCACAAACACCTTTCATATCCAGGGAGTTCTGGAGAATACCGACAAAGAAAGAATCAAAAGACTTGTTAGGTTGAAGCCCCCAACCGAGTTCTGAATATACTGGAGGAGGGATCCTGCTTTACATTGCCATACTGTATATCTTGGAAACAATGGATCTTCAGACAATCTTGACGTGTGTTCAAGGAGAATTTACTGATTTGTATTTTTAGAAGAAATTGATGTCTGAGGAACTCTGAGAACAATTATTCTATTAGGGGCTAGCATTTGTGTAATTTGTGATATCAGCTGTCCTGATTAGTTGAGGTTCAGGGGCTTTCTTGTAATCGGCATCTAATCGAATTTTATTGCTGTTACAAACATACAAAGTACCTATTTCATACTACAGAGTTTGGAGACATAGCAGTACAGTTTGCAACCCATCAAATTCCCCTTCACTAATACTACATCACTAATTTTCAGATGGAAATATCGGCATACATATGTTCTCCGTCCATATTAATCATCACATCGATAGTGTAATTTGAATTGGCATTAAGGCAAGTAAATCCGAAATGAGGCATAATATTCATATCTAAATTGGGAAAATTTATTGGATTTGCTTTTATTATTACAAATTAAAGGATCGATTTTGAAGGAATATCCTAGTGAACAAGGTCGAAAACTAGATCTAGTGAACCAAATTGTTTTGAGACAGATTTGATTTCGAATGTAGTTGGACAAAAAGGTTGAATTACTGAGACTGCTCGAAAGAGTTGAAACAATCTGCAATATTTCGTTACAAGATGATGCATCATCTTTTGCAAAAGATCATTGAGAGCATGCAGTTCCTCAAACTAAACAAACTATAATATAGCATCTTGCAGACTTGCATGAAGTAACAATTCAGACATTTAAACAACTATGGTATATTACTAGAACAATAGTACAAAACATCAAACAGCAAAGAATTTTGGTAGCTCTCTCAAGGCTCAGAGGCTCAATGAGTCAAAGATCATATTTATACATCTCACTTCACACACATGCCAAACTGTAACAATATAAGTAAGCATCACCACAATAAAATTGGCGTTCCCCGGGTGCCTCGCCTTCAATCAGTGGGATCTTGCACATCTCCTTGATAGTTCCCTCCACCAGGTCATAGCCCAAGATTTTACCAGGGACATGAATAACCACCATCATGCATTTCTCTCCTCCATTACATTTTCTGCTAATTATTAGAGAAAGAACTGCAAATTCAGGATGATAAGCACCCGATAAGCAACTTGCTTTCCTTACAACTCCAAGATTTAAAGTGAACTTGAGGAGCCAACCTTCCTCATAATTGTCCAACATATGAACTTCCAAAGTCATGTCACTGTATTCATGCCACAGACACCACAGCTTCCCCTTGCATTCGAAACACTTCATGTTCCCTCTTTCTGGCCTGGAGAAAACGGGAGATGGCATTTTTGCAACCCGCTCTTTATCAACCTCCAAGTACAATGACTCCCCGCTGCTACAAACCCAATGGATAGAGCCTCTCCAATACACTCCGTTCCTGAGAGCCATATCGTTTAGAACCCTGATACTAATTTCATCCACATCTTTCCAGCACCCTGTCTCTGATGAATATACTTTGAGGGCATAATGATCGGGTGATGCCGATGTGTGTACAGAAACTATCTTGTAGCCATAGCTTAAACTGTGTGGATCAAAAGCCAGAGTGGCTGATAGAAAGGAGTTCTGAATGTTTGGAATCGTTCTCAATTGGCTAGTTATGGGATTGCAAACATGGAGATTCAGAACCTGGGAATTACTCAGACTGATGCTATAGTAGAGCAGTAGCCCGTTGCAAGACTGCAAGATTGATACAACCAGGCCAGCTAATGCAGGGATTTCAAATGTTGAGCTAGATGTCTCAGAAAATGATGGGAGACTAATATTTGAATCAGTAACAGGAAGAAACCAGTAAGCATAAGGCGATAGAACACATCTCCTGCGGAGGAAAATGCCAGAGATGGGCATGGAATCCTTCGGATTATGAAGCATGTGCAGGAGAGAGAAGTATGGGGCAGATATGAGGAAGTTCCAGTGTTTTGAGACAGATTTGAACTTCATCAGGGACTTAGTAGGCAGTCGGATGAGGATTTCTGTTAAGAGGTGCTCACACCCAGCAATTGCTTCAGCACATGCTGAAACTAAGCCCGGGTGTTCCAAGCAAGTTGTAAAGGCTGAATTGCTCTTGCTAGACATATTCCTCCGCCTCACTAATGATTCACGGAGTTATGAATGCTCCTTGTGAATGCTCTAGCAAGAAAAGTCTACAAGTTATCCATACATTATGAATTTATGAATGTCGACATTATGAATGCTCTAGCAAGACAAGTCTACAAGTTATCCATACATCATTTCCAGCATCGCTATGCCCCTCAGAAACACGACAATATAAAAGAATGACATAGCTAAAACAATTTCAAGAAGCAAAAGAAAAAACTTGTTCTATGTCGAGTGATGGATCTTCAATGCAGATAATCTACTCCGACAAATGAAAAAGAACCATTAAAATACGAATATAAAATATATATATAGATTGGTTCATGACCTCTTGCCAATCTTTTATCAATTTTGCAGGGCTTCATTTATATATAGAAAAAAATTATCCACAATATGACAATAACCTGTGACTCTGTGAGAACAGAGTCCAACTTCAAGCTGCACATCAGGCCATCAGGGTAGATGTTATATCAAAAAAAAAAAAGTGTTCTATGTCGAGTGATGTATCTTCCAAATCATCAGCTTCATACGAAGTATAAGAGCACGAGTTTCTAGTGCTATTCACACTTGAAATAATCAGCAATATATCTGCTAAGAGAAGGCATTGTTTTGCAAAAGCTTTTGCAGGGACTTCTTTCTAAGTCAAATTGAACAATTTCAATAAAGAATATAGTCCAGCACTACGAAGTTAATGGCTCAACAGTCACAACGAACATAGCCATTGGCATCAGAGCCGCACGAACTTGTAACGAACCGATTAGCACATTCACAAAAGCATACAGCACAAGTCCTGTCCATAATGAACTGATCACACAATCCACATTGAGAGGGCTTATGTTCAATCCAAAGATATGCTGTGATGATTGCTCATAACTGATACAAGCCAAATCAAAATCAATACCATAACACCATTGGAGTAACAATTATTCAATTCAACATTTGCTGTGATAAAAACATATGCTGTGACAAAAACATCATAAAGTTCCTAAACAACATGAATCCTGAATTCCTGACATAATCAAAAATCTTAACTAGCAATGGAAAGGGGGAAAAGGCCAGGAGTATACAAAGCGAGGCGATCATTAGTTCGATGTTTAGGCCGGTAAACCTGCTTAATACTACGGTTCTTCAAATTATAACTATAAAGTCTGCTTCTTGTTTCATTACACAACACCATATCTCCCCCATTTTCACCCTCATAATCACAAAAAGGATACACCACATCTCTAGCCATCCCAGATATAAAAATGTTAAACTTTCTATTCCAAATAAATTCACCCTCAATTTGATTCAACACCCAAATTTCCATTCTTGAAGGCCTTGAATAATTATCAACAGCACATAAACACCCTTTAAATTCAACCAAATATAACAAATCATATAATATAATCTCATTTTCATTTCCTTGAGGTGCTGGAATTACCCTAAATTCTTCTTCTTTAACATCCAAACACACCACAAAACCCGGTCCATTCTCAACGGTCCAGTAAAACTCCCGGTTCACCATTAACCCAAACCGCTTCACCTGAACAGGACAACTCTGTTTGATTTGTCGCCAACAACCGGAACCTGCTAACCCCGGTCCAAACTCAAAGAATTCACATTTTTCACCGGTTAATCCAACAACATACCGGTTCTCATCACCCAAAAATCCAAACCCACCATTTGAGGTGATGGAATTACCATTTGGCCCCGGAGGAAGACGAAGGAATTCCTGGGTACTAGGGTTACAAAGGTAAAAATACCGATCAGAAACAAAGCAAACAATTGGACCCTTTGATGGAAGAAATTGGAGAGAGAAATCAACGTAAGGGGTAAACCCGTTTTTAATGGAGTGGGTATTCGGGTCACGGTCGACCCGGAAGAGTTCTTCAAAGGGTCGGATTGAGAGGTGAACTGGGCGATCGGGAACTTTGACCGGTTCATCCGGGAGGTGGCGGAGGAAGAGGATGAGATTCGGCGGCGGTGGCGGTGGGATTGAGTGGTGGAGTTGGTGGCGGAGATCGGAGAGAAGAGGGTCGGAAGAAATGAGGAAATTCCAGAGTTTGCAAACGGATCGGAATTTGTAGAGGGATTTTATGGGGAGACGAGCCCAGATTTGGGTGAGAGAGTCTGGAGGTAGGCGGCCATTGATGGGTTTTCTCCAATTAGGGTTTGTGATTAACTGAGTGAGAGAGTCTGGATCTTCGTCCGCCATTGTTGGGGGTTTGGGAGCTTGTGATTGAGTTTTGTTTTGTAGGGTTTTGTTGATGAAGAAAAGGGGTTAACGAATAGCGGTGGAATGATGTTTTAGAAGGGTAATTTTGCCTAATTGAGGTTTTAATTTGATATGGCCGGAAACTCCCACAAGTTTAAACTCGATCAGGCTTTACTACCTTAAAAAGTGGGGAGGAAGTTTTTACGGAGAAAATTGACACTGTAAAGTCTCGTAGTCAAAAGTATTTACAAGGTAATGATTCAGGGATAAGTGTGTTTTGTTCACTTGATTTTAATAATATGAATTTAATTGAAATAAAAAAAAAATTATGAACTTATCAAAAATTTGAATTTGATTAGTCATTATTAACCATTTAACCCTAATCTCAACCTATTTTTTTAAAATTTATCTTAATTTATTTAAAATTTGTTTTTTTTTTTTAAATAAGTAATAATAAAGTAAATAAAATAGGATTACAATCATGATTTACATCGGATCTTCTCTAAGCAAATCTATATTATTCATATATGTCACATAAGTCTACCGACTCAACCTATACTCCGTATTAATAGAATCCTATCATGTTAAACATTTGTTCACCACGTTGTATAAAGAATGATAGAGTAATTACAAGACTCACAACTGTTACAAGTTACAACCTTTCAAAATTCAAACTAAGTTGAATTGTTGACAAAAACATTTCAAGCACCCACAACAAGACTACGTTGAAAGTATTGGATGGTTCGTGCGAATGGACGAATGGTGCGTAAATTATTATGTTCCATCTTTATTCAACTTTATTTTTTTCTTTATAGAATCTAGAAGCTGAACAAGTGGGTTTGTAACTGAGGAATTCAGGACCATTATTTTGGTCAATATCGTTTAGTCGTTTACCAACGAAAACATATTGATATACTATGTCACTTTGTCATTGTCCTATGTCCTATCTACTTTTGCAATAAAGGTGGTACCGTACTCTTTCAACCAAAGAATTGAATTAGGTAAACAGCTCAACTCCTACGAAGTCTCCCTTCAACCGACGCTTTCATTCGCATCACAGCAACATTACAACCATAATCATAGCATTTACAGTTGGCTGTTGGCTTCATAAATCACACAACCTTCGCAGCTTAGGCCGTTGCACGGGTTCACTACTCACACTCACGGTTTTCCCCTGTAGGAGTTCCTTTCTTTTCATCTTTCAGGAATTGAGTCATTCTACTTGAACAAATTTGCCATCCGCTACACTTCATGCATTACAATTGATCAACATGTATGTTATGACACAAGTTTTTACATTGCTCAACAAGGAGGATACGAGATACAATGAGGAAAAAATTTATCACTCTAAGACTCGATGAATATAGTGTTGTTCACACGTATTATACGTTCAAGAAAAAAAATTAATAGTACAAATCAGAGGTGCAATACTACAAGACAATGCCCCTCTCGGAATCAACTTTACCGAATCACGAATCATTCTGCTCCGTTATCTCTTGTTTCCATCCGACTCTTATCCATGGAGAAGAAGTGAACATATAATCACAAACAAGTGATACAATGAACATCGGGATCACAAAAAAAAAAATTAAAAAACAAACGAAAGGAAAAGAAAAAGGTCAGCTACACATATATGGGCACAAAAATCAGATGGGGTTGTAGTAATAGCCATTGGGTGGCGGCATTCCATATTGACCATATGGCATCATCGGATTAACAGCGGGCATCATTGAGTTGGATCCGGGAGTATAATAGGCAGGTCCTCCTATTTTAGCCAAAGTAGCTTGACCGTGCATACCACTGTTGGCATATTGTTGCCACACAACCTGCTCTTGCACAAGCAAGTGCTGTTTCTTTTCCATGTCAGCCATTTGTACATATGCAGGGGGTGCAACACTCAAAGAAGCAGCAAACGGGTCTCCACCAACCGTTTGAACTGAACCATCTGGAGCAGGGAGAGCCAAAACTGGTGTTGCGGATTTTCCAGGCGCTGCAACGCTACTAGCACTTCCACTCATCTGGGTAGCTGTCACATGTTGCCTCACAACTCCTGAATCATACATACCATTCAAAAGTAGGGGATCTAATCCACCGCCCATAGCCGCTTTCTGGTGAGTGAGATTGCTGGCTGTTACCACCAAAGCCAGCTCCCAATCTGCCTTCCCTGGTTCAGCAGCTGGAGTTTGCCACGCAGAGGTTATCCCCTCTTTATTATCGAATGCTTGCCATGATCCATTCCCATTTTCAGCAGCTCCGGCAAACAAAGCTAATGCAAACTTATTACCCTGAGAATCTGCACTTTCTCCCTCTTCTCTTAGATCAACCAAGTCCCCAGTCACCTGCGGCTTTGGTTCAGGTTCTGGTGCTGGTGGGGGTGGTGGAGCGGGCTCCTCTGGTGCAGGTAATGCTTTAATTTCATTCATATCAGGCACTGGTTCCTCCTCTTTGGGTTCTGGTTCAGGCTCTGGTTTTCTCTCGGGACTCTTTGGCCTCTTAGTTCTGTCCCTCACAAACTCCTCTAAGGTTTCAAGGAGTTTATCAGTGATCTTTTGCACTTCCGGGAACTCTGACGACCTTGCAACACCAGTGTCCTTGCACCAGTTGTAAAAAGCCACAAGCTCATCAATCTGCTTTGCAGCACTAGCATAAGCTTCAAAAGCCTTCACACAATCTGCATTCTCCATATCGAAGAATTTGTCAAGTAAAACAGCGAGAACCTCACAGATATCAGCATACAGCTTGAAGCTTTCCCTCACAACAGGGTATAAGGCAACGAGTATCATCCTGCTATTCTTTGCCATTCCGGTAGGCCGACATGCTAAGAAACGATCCAAAAGCCTCTGCAGGTGACTCATTTTTGAAAAAATCCTCTCAGGCTTCCATTCCCTCAGTGGAGTGACAGCCTTGTCTTCCTCTCGGCCATTTGCTTCACCAACATCCCCAAATGACCTAGTTCTCCTCATCCTAGGTTCATCTTTAAATTCTCCATAATCATAATCATATCGACTAGGTGGAGACCTGAATTTATCATCCCTTGGCTCATACCTAACAATCTCACCACCATGACCACTACCCCCTCCATTGATCTCCTTACCACCTTGCTTCCTCTCAAACAACACCAATTCCAACCTCTGATCCAAATACAAAGCAAAAGTCCTCACAAAAGCCGAATGATCCCATGAATTCGAGTGAGCCTCATCTCTAAAATCCGACATATTCAACAACCTAGTCCCCCTTCGAGTCGCATACAAGATCTCCTGTTGGAAAACAGGATCCCCATCATTCATCAGCCTATGAACCAACATTAACGCCTTCAATGCCACAACCCAATCTTTGGTCTTCCCAAGCCTCCTCGAGATAGATGTTATACAGGCATTCACATACATTCGATTATACGACGTAAAAGTCAAAATCCTCCTAACATACTTCTCATCAGCCGGATCATTTTCGTGACTCGTCGCCTTAACAATGGCAACCTCAAGCTCCGGCGCCATATCACTGGATACCTTCGCCAGACCAATACTCGTTTGGTCCTTCAGCTGCCCTACTGCCTTTCTAAGAGCCATTTTTCTCTCTCCTCAGCCAAATGACCCTTTTCTTCAGATCAAATAATAATAACCTAAAAACAACAAAATCATTGAATTTTCTTTCAAGATCAGATAAATGAACTCATAACACAAAATTAATCACCCCCATTTCATCAATCATAATCACACAACAAAAATAAAATAACTTTAGTCCTCAAATCATATACAATTAACTTATTAGTTATCACAAACAACATAATCATCAAGGGTAAGATTAATCACATTAAATGTCATTATATTAGATTCAATCAACTTATTAAAAGAAAAAAACCCAATAAATTCCAATTAGTTTCGTTTTTATCTAATTATTAATCATCAATTCATATTAAATGAAGTAAAAATAAAATAAGAAACAGAGAAAAATCCAATCCAAAAAAAAACAATAATGAAAAAATGAAAACATACCGACGAAATAATCACCGATCTGAAGAAATGACGTCGGATCCGTTGACTAACAGAGACAAAAATGGACTCTTCGAATAACCTTGAACCGGATCCAAACTCGATCCTCTCTTTCAAAATTTTCTCTCTCCAAAATCACCCTATATTTCCTCTTCCCCTTTTTTCTCACAAAATCCGATTTACTTCAGCTGCGATGAATGAGGGGAAAACCTAAATTTATTCAATTCTCTATAATTTTTAATTTTTAATTATGGGTTTTGTTTATTTATAAACGAGAAATTCTGGGTTTATTTTAGTTTGGATTATCTGAGTTCTGAAAGCTCAGAGAAATGAGGAGAGAGAAAGTAGAGAGAGAGAAAAAAAAGATTATTACAGAAAAGGAAAGAGAAAGAAGACGGTGTTTGTTAAGTTAGGATGATGAGATGGAAAATTGGTGGGGAGGTTGAATAATAGCCGTTGATTTAAATTGAGATCTATAATTAAACTGTGTCGGAGAGTTGGACTGTTGGAGTGTGTCTGTCTTTTACGCGCTTTTTTTTTTTTTTTTGGTTTTTCTTTTTTCTAGAGTTTTCGCCTGCTTTTTTGGATTAGAATATGAAATTAAAAATTTTAACAGCCCGTCAAGTGTGTGGCGCCATTCGGTCACTTATAAAAGAACAACGTAACTCTTATAATACTGACTAAGTAACTCTTATAATACTGACTCAATAATCCTTATAATATTGGCCGAGTAACCTCATAATGCTGACGAAGTAACCTCTTTAACACTGATCAAATAACCCCTATTACACTAACGAAGTAACCTCTATAATGGCTGGCCACATTGTATGGCTAGCCACATATAAGAACTTGTGAAATTTTAAACGTTATTGATCAGGGTTTAAAATTATTTTAGAAGTTTATTTTTAAAAAAAATACAGATTAGTTTCTTGGGTGTTTAGCTTCTAATATACTTTAGTTGGTTAACGTCTTTTACAGTTATATAGAGTACATTATATCTAACCTCGTCTACAAAGTACTTCGCTACATTGATTATTTATGTCCATCTACACACCAAAAATAATAACGAGATCTAAATATCTAGTGTTTATGCACTCTCCATATTCCTTATTAGTTGCCTCATTTGATTAATTTTCTAACGGTAATTGCATGCATTTTATAATAATAACTTTATGTAATTAAAATTTATGAAAAAGTTGGTCTTAAAAAAAAAAAATTAAAAATAATACTCCATATAATGAAACTACAAATGGATTATGAATTTAATACGTGTTTGCATGAGTTTATTGCTCAAAGGTAATACCATTGTGGTTAAATTTTTACTATATTAAGATGTATTCCATGAAACAAAACCAATTGATTGTTGGTACAGTGGTAATTGGAAGTGCACTAGGTAGAGAGGACCGCGTGTTCGATTCCTTGCAACAACAATTGGGAAGAGACTGGAACCTGTTTCGGGGTTTTTTGAGGTGTCCTACGGGAGAGTTACAGCACCGGGAATGTACGCCTGACTTCTGTACCTGCAAAACCACGAAATTCCGCTTGGGTGGAGTTCCGCCTCCGAAGGTCAAGTTAGTATGATTCCGGATGAAATTACGTGCGGAAGGTAGATTGGTTCTCTCGGATTCCGGGAGATTCCGCAATTAATATTGCTCGGGTTTGGTGGGTGTATTTATGAATATCAATAAATGAGGTAGATTCCTCTATTTATAGCAGATGGGTCTGCTCCCCCATTGGGGGTACAATGCCACGTGGCATCCGTTGATTGGATGCCCATGGTGCAATAGGGTGATGACACGTGTCAGATCCCTATAGGGCCACGTGTCCAGGGTAATTTTTACCCTAAACATTTGCCCCTCACGGGTGCTGACGTGGCTATGCCACGTGGCACCTGTGACACGCGCCAACCAAGCAGGAATACGACGATTCGCCTCTTTCCCCCTCTTTTCCAAATTTCAAACTAAGGGGAAAGAGGAGGTGACGGTTCACCTTCTGAGATCTCCTATAAATAGGCATCCCCCTTCTTTCATTTCTCACTTTGTCATTTTTGAGAGAAATTTCTTGAGAGAAAAAGCGAGAGCTCTTGACCCCGCCTGCTTACTTGTGTAGACAGCCGTTCTTCCGGATACCGCTTGAGTTACGCTATCCGTCTCACTAAGGTATCCTTCTGACTCAATCGGTCTTTTTGATTGGATGTTTGATTATGCTGCAACCGGCTTTTGTCGTCTGGAGCTTTTTAGGCAATTTTTTATAAATTGCGTCTATTGAAAATCTCAACCGGTATAGACCGTCTGAGTTATATTCTGGCACTTATTGAAGTTGCACTCAATAGACCCTCAGTCGGTTTTCACCGTCTGGGGCATCAAACAAGTAATCTCATTGGTGAGTTGCATTCAATAGACCCTCAGCCGGTGTAAACCGTCTGGGGTATCTTCAAGCAATCTCTTGGGTGAGTTGCATTCAATAAACCCTCAGCCGGTGTAAACCGTCTGGGGTATCTTCAAGCAATCTCATTGGTGAGTTGCATTCAATAGACCCTCAGCCGGTGAAAACCGTCTTGGGTATCTTTGATCAAACTTTCTTTTGGCCTGCCTTGCTGTTTTCCCAGCCAGTCTCACACCGTCTAGGGGGTGAGCAAGCAATTTCTTTCTAAGCTGTTTTGCTGCGACCCCTGACCGGTCTTTGCCGCCTGGGGTGCCTTGAAACAGCCTTCGCTTTAACGAATACACAGCCGGCCTTCAGGCCGCCTGTATTGGCTTCTCTATTTCTTTGAGTTGTCTTCTTGCGAAACTCAGCCGGTTTATGCCGACTGGGGGGTCTTTGCCCAATCTGATAAAAATCCCAGATTATTTGCTTTTGCCAATCTTACCCAACCGGCTTTTCCCGCCTGTGGTATCTTTGGGCAACATTGGTGATTAATTTTCCTTCTTTTGCCAATATGCAGTTTGCTCAAAGTGATACCGTTTGGGGTATCTTTGGTCTACAACCGTCTCTAATTTTCTATTCAATCTCAAGGTAACGTATTGGTTGTCTTTTTTGGAGTTTATTTTTGATTCTTTTGGCAGTAAATACCTTAAAATAATGACCTCACCCATCACACACACGGCACACCACAATTTAGAGGTCAGCCAGTCTCCTGGTACGGCTGAGTCTAGGACTGGGGGTGCCGCCTCTGGGTACGGGGAGTCTCCTTGTTCATCTCCGAAACCGACTGTCTCTGTCTCTGTGCAAGAGGCAATGGCTCGCACAAAAAAGACTGCCTTCGACCCAGAGTACAGAGAGGCAGACTCAGGCGAGCTGCCGCCTGACCCCAGTCAGACGGAGGGAACAAGAGATTCTCCGCCTGGCACCCCCAAGCACTCCCAGTGATGGGATTTTAGGAATGGGAGGTGACGAAGATGCCGCCTCGCCCTCTAAATCTGAGCTGGAACACCAAGAAGAGGGTGTCAGCGACGACGAGACCGCCTCCTCATCCGGTAGAGAGCAGAGCGGCAGCAGCAGCAGCCTTTTGACACCGGATGTTGATAGCGAGGCGGAGGAGAGGCCTAATTGGAATAACAAAGGCGACCCGTTCCTTATCGTCGTTTCTGCTAAAGATAGGGCAAGCATGGAAAATAATTTGGAGGATTTCATAAAAATTCGCCCGCTTGGGAAGAAATGGAAAATAATTGTGCCGCCTGAGAAGGGCACTATTGTTTGGGAAGACGAGCAGCCCAATGCAAACGGATATTTTGGCTGCTATGAAGCGGCATTCCTAGCTGGTCTCCGCTTCCCCCTTCATAACACAATAAAGGCCATCCTTCGAGGATATGGCCTTGGCATTTGGCAATTAACCCCCAACTCATGGGTTAACATATTGGGTTACATTGCCGCCTGCGAGATGCAGGAAATCAACCCCAGATGGGAGGCTTTCGCTCATATGCATTACTTGAACAGAAGTCCAGGCGGTTGGAGAGCCTGGTACACATTGACCACCTATCCCCATTACCTGATGACCTTAGACAAACCGTCTAAGTGGTCCGACTGGAAGAACAGGTTTTACTTGGTCTCCGCCCCTACTCAGGCAGAGAACCGGGAGTATAGGGTATACAACCGGAAGCCAGCCCTCCTGGGTCATAAATGTAAGAAGCCTCGTGTCCCGGATGAGGACTATGAGCGAATAATAGAGTCCAAATTCTTTGAACAGACCACCGCCACCCTCTCCAATGGAGACTTAATAAGCGTACCCAGAAATTGGGTGCCTAGGCACGAGTTTCTTCGAGACGAGGCATTTCTGTCCGTTTGTAAACTTAGCACTCAGTTTGACAAACGTAGGTCACATTAGAGATTGCCCCTATCTTATCTTTTGTTCCTTGTTTTATTTGTTTCTCTGACCAGATGGGTTCTTTTGTGCAGTGTGTGGATTAGCAATGTTGCCTGCTGACAAGACACCCGCCAAGTCAGCCGTTGAAATCCGCAAGGCAAATGCGGAGAAAAAACTTGTTGTTCAGGCGGCGAAGAAGGTATCTTTCTTTTCCTTTTTTCTTTCTACATATATTTCCGTTTGGCTTCAATGCCGCCTGATTGCTATGTTCGTTTTTAGGATGGGAGAAAGGTGCCCCATTCCGTCTCAAAAATAATCAGGCCTAGGCCTGGAGAGGCACCGCCTGCCCAAAACAAGGTGAGGAAGACTTCCTCTTTGACGGTACCTAGCCGTCTGACGATTGGGGGTAAAACTCTCAAGAACCTCGGCTTGGGGTTCGATCTGTCAAAGAGGCAACCGGATGTTCCTGAAAAGGAGACGGAGCCGCCTAGGGCATCCGGTGCTTCAATACCGACTGAGGGCAGCCACGACCCTCATCCTACCACCCAAGGTACTCTTGACCCCTTCAACCCTTCTTTGCTTGGCAAGCCTATGCGGGTCAAGTTGCACTCCCAGCTCCAGCCAGAAGACTCTTCTGGAAGCCGGCAGTCGATAGGAGGGAAGTATGTTGCCTTCTCACCATCTGTTTCTAGTGCATATCACTCCCCTCGCTGGGCGGATGTACAACGGTACGCTCGGGCCATGCTGAAGGCCGTCCCAAAAGAGGAGAAGGAGGCGATACCAGGGATCCATTCCTTCAATGCCGACCAGGTTATGGCCGGCCTGTCTGAAGTACATAATCCTTCAATTTGTTTCTTAAGTTATTATGCCGCCTGGTCACTTCTGACACCGTCTGGGATTTTGCAGTCGATGCTGCACGTAGAAGGGCTCAAGAAGGCTTATGCCCGCAAGTGTGAGGAGGTAAGACGGGCTAAACGGGATGCGTCTGACGCCCATAATGTTGCCCAGTATTCCATGATTATGCATGAATTGAAAACTAAAAGCATAATCATGCAACAGGCGGACAACATCAAGCGGCTCCAAAAGGC